CTTTACCCAAAAGAGGCTAAAACCCAAGTCCTACAGGTAAAAAATCCTGACTGCAGCATTCAGACTTACCAGAGTGGGAGTTAACAACTAGAGGGAAACTTCTCATGTAACTTTCAGCGAACAGATCACAATCATGTTGAAAACAGCAGAATTTTCTGGGGTCTGGGAGGGAATGTTGCCTTAATTTTCTGGGTTCTGTGATTCTGAACTATGGAAACGAAGAAGTTATCTACCTTAAAACACTCTAACAATCACCTCACCATTGCTTTCAGCAAAACAATGCAATGCTTTTGCCAAATAAGGGGAATTGAATGAGTGTAACCAGGGCAGAATTTGGAGTTGGTTGGGTGTCAATCTGAGAGTTGGTGTAAGGGTGCAGAGCTGCTGCCTCCTGATGTGCCTTCCCTCCACTCAGTCTAGTAAAAAGCTGCTTTTTCCTCTTTGAGACATAGAAGGGAGCAGGAAAAGAAGGAAATCTGACTGTGACAATACCACTTGTAAGTGCTTTCAGGGTTCATACAAATATAAAAACAAACATGAAGGAGCTCATTGTGGGCATTGTCTTAAGGACTGCAAGAATTCACACTGAGAATCTGAGCTTTACTCCAAAGGAGAAAAGAAAAAAGAGTGTAGCATCTCCTTGCTGTTTTTTGATGCAAATTGAGTAACTGCAGAGAAACTGGAAAGCTTTGAATTTACCCTTCCAGCATACCTGAAGGCACATGAGTCATAGCACCAGCTATTTAATTTTTTTAAAAATTTTCTTTTTGGCCTCACTCCTGGTGGGTGTAATTTCTTCTCCAACTGTTGTTCCAATGCATTTCAATACCAAAGGAGGAATGCTTTCTCCCTGGAGTATGTCCCACATCAGAATGCTGCCACATGCCCTGCATTTGACCTTTGCTTTTTATTTTTATTTTTATTTTTATTTTTTGTTTAAAGGGAGGAGTTTGTTTTTTAGAGGAACAAAAATTAATTGTTTTCTCAGAAATGCTTTTATGATGATAAGACAGCTGTGGGAGAAGAAAAAAAGAGAATTTATGCTTAAACAAAGGACAGGGAAAGGTCAGAAAGCAATCTGCAGGATGGCAGAAACACTCCAGCTATTCCTCAGAGCAATTTCTCTGAGCAATGAAAGAAGTAAAACCAATTGCATATGCCTCAAATACGAAACAAAAATAAAGTTAAAATAGATGTCAGACTGCATTTTCATACTTCTTTTTGTCCTTGTAAAAAAATAGTGTAATTTCCAGACCACTACAACATCATTCACATTGTGGTGTGCTGCTAATAAGGCTGGGGACAATGCAATTTCTTGTCAGTCATCAGTCAGAGGCTCTCAGGACAGATTTCATCAGTGAAAGAATCCACAACCTGCAAGGCCTGCTTTTATTGTGAAGTGTGTTTATTACCCATCAACCCCTGTATGGTGATTTCCTTATAGCAATGGGTTTTTTCCATCAATTTTCCCATCTCCCCTGCTAGCACTTTCAGTATGTGACTAACCCCAAGAAGTTCACTGCAGCCAAGTGATTTCAATATCAAAATGAAGCCTTTGGATAAGGAAAGTTTCCTGTGGCAAAGGAAAATCAATGGGAAGAGAAGTCTGTAAGGGTTACACTGTGCCACCTTTCACTCCAGCTGAGTGGCATATTTTTTTGGTAATATCTCATATTGGTTTGAATGGGATGCCAGGCACTACTGATTATCAAATCAACAGATCTATTTGGCCTGGAATATTTACTGAGAGGAGTGAAATAACGAAACCTAGTCCTAGTCTATCCTGCAAAGCACTAGCCATGTTATTTTCTGGCAGCTAATGGGAATTCCTAGTGAACGTGACTTACCCAGCATTACACATCAACAAACAGCATACAGTGGTGCAGGTTATAAAAGTGACAGAGCACCATTCAACTCTGTCATTATAAAGAAAAAAATAATTGAAAACAGATCATACAGTATTTGAAAACATCTTCACAGATATTTCAGTGCTTTTACAGAGGGGAAGTGTCACAGTGTTAATGAAAAAATGGGTTGAAATATAAGAATTACAATCTCTTCATCAAAATAAATTAAAATATAATTTAGGCATAATTTTATTTTACAGAAAAAACTTTCCAAATTTCCAAAACCTTTCAAATTTTTATAAATTTTAAAAATATTTTTTTAAACTAAAACATACTTGGCTGTTTTGCCATTACTTATTTTGCAGTTGTTATGTATGTTTGCCCTTTGTTTCTAGAAAATACATTCAATCTTGTCTCATAGGCCAAGAGGACACAGTACAAGATTCCAGGAGCTGCTATTAGAAAGAAAATGTAGGACTCCCCTCTTTCACAAGTTTGGGAAGCTTGACAACACACATCAGTTGTTCCAATGCTTTACTTGATTTAAAAGGCATAATGCAAGTTAAATTGACAATGTAAATGTAATGGGCTGTAAATGAATTCTTCCAAAGACCTCATTATCAGCATTGTTTGTTACAGAGATTTTACAATTATTTCAATCATAGGATGCCCCAGTCTGTTTTGTGTAATTTATCCTCTAGCTTTTTCCCCAGTACCCCATTCTTCTTTCTGTAGGCAAGCATCATGAACTCACCCACACTACATCACACTTGGGGATATTCTAGATGAGTACAGCAGTCTTCAGCACTAACAGATAGGAAATTGGCAATTTAAACCTTGTACATAAGATCTAAAGGATTTAGAGAGCCCTTTTTAGCCTGGAACAGATTTGATATTGGAAGCAGAGATCTGATGTCACGTTTAAATGGCACAACACCTTATGGCACAGACATCCCTGCTCTAACAAGAGGACTTCTGCATGAGCACCAGCTCACAGCAAGTTTCACTGCATGCCCAAATTATCCCTGTCGGAGCTCTGGGCCCTTGGCTGCACTGGGACACTGATAAGGAGAAGAGTATAACATATATGATATTACTGCCATTGCTATGGGAGTGCTTACGGGCCAGCCAAAACCAGGGTTTCCCTGTGCTAGGTGCTCAATTATTCCCAATTATTATTATATTAATGGTATGTTTTTATTCTGTTAGCTCCACATCCAGGAAAAAATAAATGTTTTAGCTTAGAGCTAGTTTTGGTGGAAGGTTGGGGCTTACCTATCCATAACAGGAACAAACCCCTCACAAATAAAAGTCAATGTGATGAGCTCTAGCAATATAGAAAAACCTATGAAGTGAATTCAGTGAATATGGCATGGCAGTAATTATCTTTAATTATCTTTTCTTCCCCCCCCCCCCCCCCCCCCGTTTTTTTTTTTTTTGGTGTCAACACATGATCTGTGAGAGGTTGACCTAATTCCAGCCTGGACAGGTTTCCCCTACTATATGACTGCATTAGTGAACAGAAATACTAAATATGCATTACCGTTATTCATGACAAATCATTTGCTAAATTAACTGAAATTACTGTATTCACATTCTCAGGAGCTGCTGTATGAACAGTCCTGAACTGAATGGACATGGTTTATAATTTGCTTTTGAAGCAGCACAGCATGGTGAAAGCTGATGAAATTCCTGCATGCAAGCACAGTGGAAGCCATTACCTAGAGAAGCAGCTGCTCCCCTTCTGCTGCACTAGAAATACATCATATTTATTGGAATTGAAAAAATAATCATGTCAGAGATTTATCCATATCTGCTGATGTGAATATTTGGGGATATGAAAACCATCCCTTGGCTTTTAGAAGAGGATGGTCCAGTGTGTGAGCAACATCAGCAATGGACAAAGATTTGCTGTGACAAAATGAAATAAAAGTGAACATAGATAGATATAAGTGAAAGTGGCTGAAGTGTGTGGGGAGGAAATGCAGTCCACAACACAGCACCAGGTAAAAAGACTGCCTATTTCTGCTATGAACTTTATGCTTCCTATAAGTGTGGCTAAAAGAGAGCAGGGTAAGGATATTTGCAAAATAATTCTCAGATTTTGAATTGGAAAAAAATCCCTGAGAAAGAGTTGAAAACCAGAACATCAAAGGCCAGGTGCTGTCCCCTACTGCCAAATTAGCTTCATGAGGGGACTCAGGTGTCTGGTGACCTAGACTGCCTGCAGGATTCCTGGTTCAGAGAGGAATGTAAAAGAAGAGGAGCAATTTATGAAGCTACAGGTTTCTTTAACATCAGGGATACTGATGAGAAGAGCACACTTTTTTTTTTCACATTTTTATCTGAGACTTTGAGAAAGCTTTTAAAATTATTAGGGAAAGCAGTGGATTAGACAGTCAAACAAGAAAAAAGAAATTAGTACTTTTCTTCTCAATTTTTGTTGTTGGATCCCGCTTTTCCTTGCTCCTTGACTTTCTTTCTCATGCAGAACTGTGCATCCACAGTACATTGTTCTCTTATAATCACTGCTTTTGAAATTCCAGAACATATTTTAAGCATTTCCAAAAGACTGGCATAAATGTGGGAGCTCTGTGCCTTCCCTTATCCCAGCAGGTCCAATCCCTAACCCAGTTTGAGGTACTAACAGACTTGATCTACTTACAGATGGATAAAACTTTTAAGCCAAATGCTGGCCTCCCAATATATGAGATATTCAACCCAAATGTCAAACCCACATGTCTGAATGACTAGGTAGCTTTTGTTTAAATCCATGGTTTTCTTTTAAAGAATTTACCATGACATTGTTAGAATAGTTGGAATTTATGGTTCTGCACTTCAAGACTAAGGAATACCCTCTGCCACACCTGCTACTACTACAGGCGTTCCTGATGCATTTTGTTGCTGTGCTATTTGATTTAAACATGCAGTCCTCATAAGAGGTGTGGTTTTAAATAACCACATTTAAACATACACATGGGTGTATAGTTTGAATTGTTAGCAAGAAGTACTAAACAGGATTTACTTGTTTATTTAATGAAGCTGAAGCATCGATTGCATCGTGGTTTTATCCCCCTCAGGCAAATAGCTCCCCCCTAACTCTGCCTCCTGCAGGAGGCATTTATGTTTTATGCAGAATGGCCCAGTATTTACCTTTTATGCAGAATGGCCCATCGTAGGCAGTTGTGGAGCAGTCACAGGAGTAGCCATTGTATTTCTCCACGCACTTGCCCCCGTTGGCGCAGTACATGCCGTAGCTGGTGCAGTGGCCAGAGCAGCCAGGCTTCACCCCAGGCGTGACCTTGGCTCTCTCCTCCAGGTCCAGCGTCACCCCGTTCATCCTCAGGGAGCGAATGCAGCCCAGGAAGCCTCGCTGGCCTCCTGCAGCACCTGAGAGGGAACGTTGGACTGTGAGACAACACTGGATGGGTTTTATTCCTGTTGCTTCACATGAAATATCCTGCTAAGCCTGTGGTAACTTCTTTATAATTGCCTTGTACTAATGACAATAAGTCAGTGGAATCTAGCCCTGTGATATCATACCATTAGCAAGCATAAATAGTAGTTTTTTTATCAATGCTTGCTTTATACTAATTAGACATTTGGGATTCTAGCCCTGGAAGATTTCCTTTCATTTCAACTTCAATGTTTTTAGAGATAAGAGTGGAAGAAATGAGCTTGGCTCAACTGCTAAGGTGTAGCCTTTCTCTCTTAATGATTAGTAATGGTGGGAGCTTGTAATAATGCCATAATATGCTATGCGATGTTACATTTTTCAAAGCCACAATGGGCAAAGAAAAAGGGAGCCAAATCTCCAGCCCCAGTTACAATAGCAAATATTCACATTGATTTCCAAGAAACATAATGTATACTATTTACTTATCAGAGCATAGACTGGAGGATGGAACACTGAAAAACTTCGTTTGACAATCTGGGTTGAGATGTTTTTTTATAGCAGTTAATAAGAACTGTCCTTTTTCATCCAGAGTAAACACTCACTGAAAAAATGTGATTTCAGCTAGGTAAGTATTATCTGAGGCTGGATTAGAAACAACAATCAAAAAAACCCAAACTAAAAAATGTGAGTAAATAACAATGAGTGCTGGCATCTTTTCTGCTCATCCCTCCTCTCTTTGATTACTGCAGTGCTGCAGGTGCCAGAGAGTCCCTGAGGAGATCTGAACGCTCATCACCACAGAGGCTGATATTCACCTGAGTGGGGAAGAGAACTAAATACAAACCAGAGAATGCTGCTTCAAACCAAGTACCAGGAACTGGATGATTTTGAGTAGGAGCAGGCAAGGCTTGGTCTCTGCTGAGTGTGCATGGCAGAGGGTGTTCTGGTGTGATTCCATTCTATGTACACTCATATATACTGCAGTGATGAAAAGCCTTCTTTACCCTCTCAGTGACTGTCCTACCCCTAGGACACAAAGTCATCACCCCTCAGTCTTTCTTGCTTACCCAAAGAATAGATATTTATTCCACAGAAAATAGAAAAGAAGGCACCAAAACAATTCTTGTTCAGCATTACCCTCCAGGGCCCCGATATTCAGGTATTCATTTTGGGCACTCCAACTCAAGTCCATTCTACGTCTGACTCCAGGTAAAGTTTAAAGCTGTTCTCTGGTATGTGTGCTCCAACCACCAAGTTATATGAAATAGATGTAATTCAGAAAGAAAAAAAAATCTGGTGCAGATGATGATGTTCATTTTTTTGGCAATGAAGGTACTATATATTTCAAAACATTGCTGTGTTACAGTCAATTCAAAACTAACAAATAAAATCATCATTATCAATAATTCTCAAAGAACTCAGGCTAGGAAAAAAAATTCCATCTCTTCCTGTTTACAGCAAAAGGCTTGGTATTTTTTAAAGGTTAAGTGTTCCTCTTTTAAACAAACTTTATCTTTCAGCTTATTTTGAAACTGCCATTTCTAGGATCACAGCAGCAAAGGAAAATCTGAGCTTGTAAATAACACCTGCACATCTGGTGACACATTATGCACAGTTTGCAGTGACACTGGGCTGATTACTATGGCAATGAAGGCTTTAAACATAATTTTTAGTTCATTTGAGTTGTTCAATGCTGACTAACATGGAGAAAATAGATAATTTTTTTCTCTTTTCCCTTCTTCTCTTGTGACAGATATCTAGAGAGGTATGAAAGTGCTTCTTTGCTCAATATTTCATGCAGTTCTGGTTCCAGCTAATGCCACTTGGCATGTCAGCACTTTGCAGCCCTGCGGCTCACAGTTGGAGAAATACAAATGCTGCTGGAATAGCCTGCCCCAAATGCAGTGGAAACCAGTAGTTCCAGAAAGCAGCTGGCCTAACTTGGTTCCAAGGAATGCATTTGTGTGGTGCTTTCATACATCAAATGGATAAATAGCCCACGGGATTAAAGGGAGAAGACTGCAGTGAGAGCTGTGAATGCAAAACTATGGCCAATAATCAAATCTAAAGAGGCTGGAAGTGCTGCCGAGGCTAGGATGGGCACTGCAGGCACATGCGGTCCTGGCAAGAACTCTGCAGAAATTTTCACTTCTGTGGTGAAAAAGTATTTGTGTGTTTGGGAAGAGACTCTCAGCAAAAAAGGAGTTTGGCACTGCAGTCTGCTGGAGGCATTTTCAGCCAGGAGATGCAGGTGGAGAGAGACAAAAAGGACAAGTTCCTAATGCACAATATTTTTCTCTTAGTTGATCTTTGTATTTCTGTAATTATGGACATATTTGTCCTTATTTTTCTTTTTCTTTTTTTTTTTTCTTCTTTTTTCCCCTCTTTGCTGTCCCACAAACACTTGAGGAGCACAGCTTTCCACAATCACTAAGGCAAAAAATGTTCAGCACCGTGAGAGCAAAGCCTGGCTGCTCCCTCTGCGCCTTACCGACATAGAGCTGGCTGTACAATTCCAGCCGCGTGTGTCCTTCTGTCGGAGCTTTCCGGACCTCCAGGGGAAGCTGGTCCACCTGCAGGCTGGCCTGCTTGACGTTCCTCTCGGCATTGACCCGGTGCCATTGGTCATCATTGAGCGGATTAGGAGATCTCACCACAATTTCCACCGGCCCGTTTCCCACGTCGAACGAGAAGGAGACCTCGGTAGCAGCTGAAATAGCAAGCAGGAGGTGTTCACAATCTGTTTGCAGTCTTTGTAAACACATTCATTTATGCTTCCCAAAGAGTAAAGAGTCATATCAAATAGAAATGTGCACTGCTAAGTCATCTTTTCATAATCTATTCATCTTTCTGAATTTATAGGCACATTCAGTTCATTCTAACTTGAGCAGGAGTTTGACTTTTAGAAGTCAAACTTGACTTCATCAGCAGACCCTCAACCAATTGCATTAGTCTTTGCATTCTGCAGCTTTCCAGTTTATACCTTTTAAAAATTTTTTTTAAGGAATAAGCATTTTGATAAAAAAAAGGTGGAGAAGTCTAAATTTTTGTTTTGATTTTGAGGGACAGGCAATTAATTCTTGCAATGAACCAATAATGCTGTAGGTAAGATCCATGTGACATTTTATGGCTGAAAAGAAATGTGACAAGATCGCTGGTGTCGAGATGACCCCAAGGTGTTAGAAAGTCTCTTTTTCCCAGCCCCTCATTTGAAGGAGTCAGAATTCCTTGGCTCTCGTTCTCAATGTTGTTTATTCTCTGTAATCTATAACATTCTTTCTCTGACCTGCCAAGGTCTGTTCAGCATGTTGTTTCATGGCACACTGCACGCCCCTGAGATGGAGTTAGTTTTTTATACTAAAAACTATGTATACATGTATACTTTATTTACAATAATTTTCCAATACCTATCACTATGTTAGACAGTCAGTTTCTACTCTAAACCAATCCAAAAGTGCCACCATCACAGCAGAAGACTGAGGACAAGAAGAAGAAAGAGGAAGGACAAGGCATGCCCAAATCCTTCCATCTTGTCTCCTGAACCCCCGTTCTAAAAACCCCAAAATTCTACTTTTCCACCCTGTGATAAATTCACTAACATTCTACTCAAACTCTTGTGGCTTGTACATCTTTATACAAAGTTGGTAGTTTTTTCCAAGGGCTAAAATCGAAGGCACAGGTGTCTTTGACTCCGTGCCAAGGTCTCTGAGCCCCTGTCAGGGTCCTGAGTCCTCCAGGGTAGCCACAGGAATGTCCTGGGTTCCAACAGAAATGGATCTTTAGTAAGCCCTACAGTGCTCTGCTTATAGTGTATGATTTAAACCATGTTTAGAAATTTTATAAATTTCCATTAAGCCCTACTAGTCATTCCCTCAGGTCATCCTTGGCAAATATACTATTGATAACTATTCTTGAATGATGAGTGTGATTAATAATATATAAATTATTTTAATAAAGTAGTACAATTATGACTTATTGAGATTTAGTTTATATTTCTTTGGGCTGCAAATTCTATTCTGGTGGCAAAAGATCAAATGAAAGGGTTAAAAGAGAATGAATTATCAATTACAGCATTCACAAATGAGGATAACAGACAGAAGTTAAGACAACCAAGAGTTCAATTTAATTTGGTTTTCCTACACACAAAATAAAAAAGCCAGAGCTCCCTTTTAATTCCCTTCAAAGATTTTGGGTGCCCAATTAGGGTCTAAGTGTTCCAGCTGTGGTTTCTGCTTAGGTTGAATTGATAATGCACTATTGTAAAACTCTTATTCAGCAAGGCCAATAAATTGGGGTAAAAGCACCACTCCATGTTCATTATCACTAACAATGCTGATAAATAGTGCGAAATATTTTTGTACATGACCTAATAGATTTTCACAGGGTTATATCAGATTGACTTGACAACATTTTTAAGAAAATTGAATGGATAGGAACAAAGTTTTTACAGAAAATGTGCTTTCAACACAAATTTATTATATATATTTTTTTTTTCAAATTGGCTGCTTCTAAAAGAAAAAAATTGAAAAGCTGTTGTTCTTTTTGTTCTCTGCTGAATTTAATTTGTTGAATAAACTGCCTTTTATAAGCCTTGGATTTAGTCTGTTTGTCCTTTTGCACTTTACAAGGCACAAAATCTGTACAAGCCAGAGCTTGTTACAGAAATAAAGATATTTAGTTTTAATGTTATTATGTTTTGTAACTTCAGTGGTTCTGCCAATAAACCCAGGCAAAGTAGGAATTAGAGTAAAACCTCTCCAGTACTTAAATTGTATGGTGTGTTCAAATCTATTTTCAAGAGTGTGTGTATAATTCTCCTTTAATTTTGCTTTGAAGAACTGCCTCAGATCTCTTCACTGTCAGGCTTGAATAGTTTCCCAAAAGCTGTCTGTCCACAGGACTGTAAAATAAAGACCTATTAGGAGACTTTTTTGCTTATTCTGAGGCAGCTGATGACACTGTCAATATTGCTACTGTGTACTTTGACTATTGTCTATTTAGAATTTTTGAAAACCTCCACAAGAATGCTTCTTTGTTTTCAAACCTTTGGTCTTGTGGATAGAAGTATCCCCAAGTCTTTAAAGGAAAGATATTCTTCTTTAAAAGAGAAAGTGAAGAAAATTGGCAAATAAAGATATTTCAAGTAGAAGCTCTGTCCCTGCATAATCTCACTTTATGCATGGCTTTAAAAGAAAATTTGTATCACAGACTAAAAGATATGTAATTAAATTTGTAGTTTTCTGAGAAAATCAGTCCCTTTGAAATTAGTACCAATTGTATAAATTTATATTATATTTTTATATTTTATTTTTATATTTAATCTTATAGTTAGGGAAAGAATAGCTTTCCAGCAAAATCTTCTCATCATAGGTAATTTTCAGTGCATATATGTGCTGAGATGCTGAAAGTTAGAGAAGATAATATTGCATCTATGGACTTCCTGATCCTTTCTCAACCTACCTAAAAACACGATTCCCATACCAAAGGTGATGAAATATACTTTCTAGACTGATGGACTGAAAAAAGCCATGAAATATTTCAACGAAAAGAGCTTCACAGATGGGCAGAGGCTGCAAATAGGATGTCTCACATACAAGTTATGTTACTGTTTCTGACTCTTCATTCTTAGTTCCATTTTCAGCCTCTGGAATAAGTACTTTCCAACCAGGGACATCTCTAAGTAAGGTGACAGGTCTTAACAGGAATGGATGAATATCTGGCCACAGGCACATTAGTCAGAAAATGAAGACAAAAGAAATTTCACACTCCCAAAAAATGAGACAAGTAGCCTGGTGACAACTGACAGGAAGAAGGCTAAGGTACTCAATGTTGTTTCTGTCTCAGTTTTTACTGGCAATTGCTCTTCCAACATCTCTTGAGATCCTGACTCTGAAGGCTGGGGGAATGAAGAGTTCAAGGTCGAGTTTGAGCACACTGAGCTGCCCCCACTCCTTCTTTTTCCTCTATGCCAACTTTTCTGCTGAGCAATGTGTTATCCTTTTGGTCAATGATCAACTGTCCTGGCTGTGTCCCTTTCCAATGCCTCTGCTACCCTCAGTCTCCTGACTGGGATAGAGAGAAAGTTTTGGCACTGTGCAAGCACTACTAGCAATAGGCAAAACACTGGTGTGGTATCAAAGCTATTCCAGGCACAAATTCAAAACACACCACCATATGGGCTGCTAGGGAGAATACTAACTCCACCTCAGCAAGAGTCAGTACAACATCAAATTTGTTCAGAAGTTCAGTATAACTTATATAAAAAGACTGGCAATTGTTTAGCTTTTTTCCTCTCAGTATGTTGTACTTTACTGTCTACACATACAATCCTTGGTAATATACCCTCTTTTACTCAAATGCATCTTTGATTGATGTGACAGTGGTATTATTTTGTCAAACATTTGAATAGAGGGATTGAAAAATTATCTAACATACCTGTGAATATGCGAGCATTTATTCAGAATGACTGACTCAGCATAGGATTTTTTTCCAAAAAGATGTAGGGAATGAGCTGCAAAAAAATGACCAGAGGTTTATACTGGTCACTTTTTAGGTAATGAAGTGAATTTTCCTAATAATATTTTTATTTTCTAATCTACCAAATACCGTAAAACTAAAGCCAGTTTTTCAAAGAAATGAGCCTAATAATTAGACTTTGAACAAATGTATGAAATTGCCTAATTATTTAAAAAAAAAGTTAATGTGGGTTGTAATTTATTCAGTCAGAACAGAGTTTTGTGATGAAAATTTCATAAAATTGAACAAGAGTGAATTTTTTATGTACTCCTACCACATAAATTCACTCTGTACTCTGAGGTTTGTGGCTTAGTTTTACCCTTTCTGTGCCTTGTGCAATTACATATAATTAAATCTGAACACGTTTCCCTCATCGATTCAATTTTCTAAGGTCTCAGGATGTTGTCAGCCATCTGTTCAGAACACAGAAGAGCAACTTTGGCAAACAAAATGCCCTTCTCACTCTTTGTTCTGTGTTGCTTTTAGCTCTATTTAGGTCTCGCCATTTCCTCATCTTTAATCCATGAGATATTTGCCCATAAAAAGGAAGGGGTACAACTGAACCCCTGTGCAGGAAGACCTGGATAGGGCTGGAAGAGTGGACTGATAAGAACCTGTGAAGTTCAACAAAGACAAATATAAGAAGGTCCACAAAGCTGATCAAAATACTTGAAAGCCTGTTGGAGGAAAGCCTGAGAAAACTGTGTTTAGCTTTGAGAAAGAAGGCTTGGGGGAGACCTTTTCAGCATTGTTTTGGTATTTAAGGGGTGGCTACAAAAAAGAAGGAGATATCCTTTTGGTAGGAAGTCACATGGAAAAGATGAAGAGTAATGGGTACAGGTTACTCCTGGGGACACACAAGAGGGAAATTTTTCACAAGGAGAACAATCAGCTACTGCCATAATGTTCCCAGGGAAGTGGTAGGTTCCTCTACACTGGACGCTTCTAAGATTCAGCAGGACAGGGTGCTAGGACATTTTGTCTAGACTGTCCTTCTTTTAAGGAAGGTTGCACCACATGATCCTTGAGGCCCCTTCTAACCTGGCATGCTTTGATCTGTGATTCCATGACTCTGTGATTCCATGATTCTATGACTGCATTATCTGTAGGAGTCCATGCTTCTTGGGTCCTTCCTTTCAAGGCTTTCTAGTAGGTATGCTTTAGTTAAACACAAGTTCTGAGGGTCACCAGCAG